ACAATGTCACGTCACGCCGTGACCATCTTATATATACCAGACCACCCCCCAATCTAGTAAATGCTAGAGCACTCCTGAAGGAACGGGATAGTTCTAGAAAGCAGGTGGCGTGACAATAGTCACGTGATCTCGCTGACGCAACAATATCATAAAAAACATCTTTTGGAAATTTTGGAAAATGGCCTATTTTAGAGCCATCTTTCCTCTTGTATGACTTTACGTCTCACAAAATCTGGTTATTTTAAGTCCGATGACTAATGGTGTCCGACTATTGCTCCAAATGATTAACGCTTATTTATTGACGGGGGGGGGGGAGTTATAGGGACTGTGGGTTGCCTCTGGTACACATAGTGTAAAACCATAGCAGCAAACAGGTCCTCTTTTATCAAGCAGGCAGTAGCACTGTCCATGTAGGAACGGCTCGGATTGATCATCGATATGGTATTTTAAATATCTCCTCAATAAGTCATCAGAACTTTACAAAACTATACAGTGTTTCCTTTTCTAATAATATCCATGTAGTGACTGAGTCACAAGTTAGAGAGTTATTAGAGAAACCCGATTAATTTACTGATCAATAGAGAGTTATTAGAGAAACCCGATTAATTTACTGATCAATAGAGAGTTATTAGAGAAACCCGATTCATTTATCTATTCAACTCTTTCTTACTTAAAGCACATTTGAAGCATAATTCAGAAATAACCCCCAAAAGGTTGAACGCTGTAGTAGCATTTTACTGTTTTACATTTAAAATTGTGTTTAAACATTAAATGAGTTTTATGTAATTATATCTTTTAAAGCATGGCCACGGCTGAAATTGAAGCTGAACTTGATTACCGTACACTTTAGACTTTATGCTATAAATACTGGATGGATTCGGATACAGAAATTAATTAAATGATCCGTACGAGATATGGATAGATATTTATCTTTATTATTTACAAATTACAAGCCAACCATACTTGATATTACAGTCAAAAAATTTCCAAAACATAAAACATTATTTAGTTCCTAAGACTATGAGACACGTTACCGTGAACATAGATCAATAATATATTGATGTACAATACGGTTTATTCACCGTTACTCTGGTTTCCAGGGAGTTCTTAGTTTGTCAGGAAATCTTCAGCTTCGACTTCGTAATGACAGGATCCTTCTTTACTGTAGAAAAACAACTCGAACTGCGGTTTGATACTTGTACTTCACAACGTTTATCGCTAAAAAACTAAAAATGAAAGGCATTTCCTTTTCGCTTAAATATAGTGATAGCTATTGGTATCACGTGCTTTCACAAAGCCACAGGTATTAGCGAATACTTATACATAACGGATGTTACTGCACTCATTAATATTTCGGCTGTTCTTTAAGCTGTCTGACAGAGCTGGCTGTGAGTAAGTAGCCATTCTTACCACCAAGAATACAGCCATTTATAGAAACCAGCTGATTATCAAGTCTTAAGACGAGAAACGTATTAGTGTTTGTGAGACAGGATTTCGTAAATCTTCAGGATCAACAAAATACTTTTTGTGTAAGTTGAATTTGTCGTCTCACCAAACATTATAAACATGTATAATAATAATAAGTTACTTTTGATTTTTTCTAAAACTTGGTGTGTAAACTGGAATATTGACGTCAGAGTCCCTCCCCCCACTTTTTACATCGATGACTAGTATAATGTATTTTTTTTACAACGATGACTAGTAAAATGTATTTTTTTACATCGATGACTAGTAAACTATATTTTTTTACATCTATGACTAGTAAACTATATTTTTTTACATCGATGACTAGTAAAATGTATTATTTTTTTTACATCGATGACTAGTAAACTATATTTTTTTACATCGATGACTAGTAAAATGTATTATTTTTTTTACATCGATGACTAGTAAACTATATTTTTTTTACATCGATGTCTAGTAAAATGTATTTTTTTTTACATCGATGACTAGTAAACTATTTTTTTTACATCAACGACTAGTAAAATGTATTTTTTTAACATCGATGACTAGTAAACATTTTTTTTTTCGGAGGATAATCAATTGCAGACATAAAAAAAAAGGTATACGATGTCCAAAACAAGAGATGTTAAATAAGAGAACTGAAGAGCCAATCTTTGTTCACCATAAAATTGGAATGTTCTATGCCTGATCATAATGTTTGGAAATCTCTTCATCTGAATCACAAGTACGATTTTCCCGCTGTCATAAATATTAATCAAAGAATTTATCAATGTTTAAGATGGTTAACAACAGTGTTAAATGCGACGTAGAGTGAAAAATTCTGAATGTGAACGGAGGCATTTCAGGCATTTGATAAAAACTCTGTTTAACTCGTTATTTGATTTAAAGCTTCGGAGTATTCAAACTTATTTTTCTCTGATATTTTTTAATATACTGGTTTATAGAAAGGAAATTGTACCTGGCTCAGTTGAAACCTAATTAATTTTGTTGCTATTGCTTGGGTTTCGATTGAGCAATGCTCAGTTAAACCATGTAGTCTACACGTAATTGCGAACAACAGAAGACATTAGCTTAACATGATAACAAATCATAAATCGCGTATTTCGACACGCTTTCAACTTTCTCTTCGACCTCGCTATCGGCAGTAGGTTGTTTGAACATAGTTTAATGGGTTGATAACGACTTCAATAGCATAGATTCCACTGTGTCAAATGTATTCATACGTCGATAATATTGTTTTGTTGTAATGATTTCCATCTGTTTTGTTTCTTTTCTGATTCCATAGCAATCGAAGAACTGTAAGTCAGTAGAACGGAGGACAGCCGCTCAAAATATTGAAGTAGTAAACACGGTGGAGAACAAGATGGAATCTCAAGATAAAAATGATGAGGTGAGTGTTGAGATGCAGACCTGCCGTTTCTAGGCAACGTCTCTGTTTGTTGTTAGGGCATCAACGTTATTGTTGCTTGTAATGGTGACATCTACATAAGTACCATGCTCTCACTTGTCCTTTCTGTTTCTTAATTGCAACTTTGTTCTTGCACGGCAAATCGCTTGTTTGTTAAGCAACATTCATTGTCGTCCTCGACCTCGGAATAAAACTAAAGAAATATGAACCCTCTTCTGCCTATTTTTGGTTAAAAAAGCTTGGGTTGATGGATGACATCATCAGGTTCCTCCCAGAGGAACTTTTTTCTTACCAAGAATACCCTTATATATACAATGTGAAATGTTAAAGACATGAATCATAAAACAGCTGCTAAGAACTCCTTCCTGTGAATTCCCATCGCGCTGCTTTATAGGATTGAAATAAGTAAACAAAATGCTCTGGCTACAACAGCTTGGTTAACATGTTTTGAATTTATTACTGTCTAAAACAAGTCAACATGAACGTTATAAACCAGTCACTGGTTCTCATATTTCTTACTTTACATATATATATATTTTCAGTATAACTTATTACAGTCATTAAGTTGGTGCATGAAAAGTAGGAGGAAAGTACACTGTGACCTTTTATACACTTCGATTACCACTTCAAAGTTTTAATGATATTTATTTGCTGAGAAAACAAGTATTCTTCAGTGTATATCTAACGGCTGTGTCTGTTACGGTGTGTTAAGATTCATAAAGGATTAGACACATATTAGAAAGTGTTCAAGTAAAGCCTACTTGAGGGGGCTTCTATTCATAACAAATATTTGAAAACTCATAATTTTTGTTTCCGTGACTTGGAGGTAATCCTGGATAGTTATATAGATTTATAGGCTCCATGGACTTTAGTGTTGGCTCTATGGAGTATACTGTGCTATGGATGTAACTTAATTAAATGTGTTCACTGACATTTGAAACCGGATTTAAGAAATGTTAATTATCGAGAATAACTTTATAATTTCTTTTCTACCAGGAAAATTTCAAGATAAATCTTACGACGGGGTTTTAAGTCATAAGTTAAACAATTTCTTTAGTTCCAAAAAGGAATGTCTGAGAATTAAAAAAACAACAACTTATATATGAAAAGAACACATAACTTTTTGGTGCATGTTTTAAAATAAGTACCCGAGAAATTTTTCATTTATTTTAATTGCTTATTCTGATCTAAAGTTTTAAAGACAAGAGTGACAAGATTATTTTATACAGTTCTTTTGCATGCAGCCAGCAGCCTTCTCACATACCGGCTTGTACTTCGCACTTGTCGCAAGAACGCTAAAAAAATTGACGGTCAAATTCTGCTACTTGTTAAGACAAGAGTAGCACAACAGTTGGCGCTGGCTGTTGTTGACTAGCTACCTTCCCCCCTAGTCTATTAGTTCAAAATTAAGGATCGATATAAGCACGTGGTTTTGAGTAGCTTTACGCAAAAATTCAGAACCAATTTCTTCGTTAAGGTTTTTGTTGCTGTTGTAGTTGAAATCTATTAATATATATTTGTATTGAACTTGCGGCCTTATTGCAACAAACCAGGAGGTAAAAACCACGGACTTGTTAACCTTTGCTTAAAAAAAACAAAGATTGATTTAGTAACCGTTAATATTATTTATATTGTGTTTGTTACCATGGGATTGTTCACATAAATCTTGTCACGTCTTTTTATTTGTCATATTGGAAGGAATTAGTAATATTGTTTGACAGTTGAACTTTTGAAGACAAACATGAAACACTACTCCTAATTTCAATACAGGTGGTCGATGTTGCTATAACTATATCTGAGAAACCAAATGCCTAGGAACAGATAAGGCAATGCAATATTTGGCTAGACTAGGAATATCCTCACACCAGAGCTTGATTGATTTATTCATAAAATAGTTAGTCTAATCATAACATCGAAGAAAGCCACATATCAAATCAAATGCTATGAATATTTTACAATAGTTTAATATCTTGTGGAAATTTTACAGATTATAACATTTTGCTTACAATCAGGAGTGTGTCCAACGGGGTGGGGGCAGACACCATTGGGGTGCTCTGCTACTCCATCTGAGATTTACGTGTTTAGTATTTTAAAAGTTTTAAATTCTCCATACATTATGGTTCCTATTGAAATGAATGTGTTATATTTTTCTGCTCCTCCAAACTAACTCTCTGCACTATAAATAAAAAAAAAATCTAGAAACGCCACTGCTTACGGCTTTGACGATTATAATGTTTCAAGACAAGCAAGTCAAAATACAAGGTTTACGTTTTTTATTATACGCTACTACTTGCAGAAAATTTAAGGTGTTTTTTAATATTTTTTTAGCTGCGACGAGGCTAATCGGAAAGCAAAATGGGTAGAAAACGGTGTAAATTTTCCTCTACCGTACTGTAACTTTATCCCCCCTTTTAAGCGTTGACTCTTCCAAGTCGAGGTCTGTATAAACGTGTAGGCTTGACATTATCGTCAACACAACGATCTCAGCACGTAGGGTGGAACGTGTCGCGTGGAGTAAGAGCACGGGGAAAACATTCGAAACACTCGTTTTCTTCTTCTCGTTTTTCTTTTTTTTTCTTCGGTACTCTTATACAATGAATGTTGTAGATACTCAAGTTGCCCAAAAACCTAGATCTTGAAATCTGTTTCAATTTTTTTTATCGTGTCTGATGACAGGCATACGTCGATGGCTTCATTGATGGATTTGCTGTAAAACATTTATGTTAAAATAATTCGGAGTGTTTGGTGGAAAGCCGGAAGAACTATGACTTTCAATAGTGATATTCGTGTGGCTCTTGTCCATTTCTCTGCTTCTAATTGGCTCTACTTTTGTCAAAGCTGATTTTACCCTATTATAACTGTGACAATATCAATATACTTCCCTTTTACACCAGTAATATTTTTACTAGTCCGTTCTCACTTTCTCCATTTCATTTTTTATTCCAACGAACACTAGTATTATTTTCCTCAGCTTCTAAGAAGTGAACTTTCTCTTCTCAGATACTGATCTCATTGGACAGAAATGATTTAATATTCTCAGATAATAATCTCATTGGACAGAAAGTTTTTAATTTTCTCAGATACTTTTCTCATTGGACAGAAAGTTTTTAATTTTCTCAGATACTTATCTCATTGGACAGAAAGTATTTAACCTACGAAAGAGATGAGGTGAGAAACAGCAGTGCACAGAAAAACAATTAACAAGGTAGGATGTAGATATGATGTTTTATTTCTGCTTGATGATGTGAGGCAAGATAACGGGATAACCTGAACAGAAGAATACTGATGTAATTACGTTTGATGTACAGCCATTAGGTCAAGGATCAAAACTGTAAGGAAAATTTACTACACAACTACGAGGTTGGTACAAACTGTTAAGCCACTTATCTCTGATGGATTGAAATAGTGAAGATGATTTAATGCATACCATGTTATTATAGAACAAGTAAAGAAAAAACTTTTCAGAAAAGAAATAAATGTAAGGATGGCTTATATCAATTCTTCAAAAACAGTGCAAGCAAGATAGTAGGGATGGCATTTCCATCATCCCTGCATAATAGTATAGGTACACAGTGTAGTAGAGTGTTAACAGACGAAAATATGGTAAATCAAACTAATTTGTAATTAAATAATTATATATATATATATATTGCTATATGTTAATTCTTGCCTGTACTATTATGTAGGGATGATGCAAGTGCCATCCATACTATCTTGTTTGCGTTGTTTATGAAGGAATGATATTAACCATCCCTACATTTACTTCCTTTTGTGAAACGTTTTTCTTCACTTGTTTGTTTGTTTCTTAATACAGTGTTTCAATAGACATAGGAAGGTTATATTTATAACCAAGTTCTAAATACAATACGGTTCCAACTGTAATATTTATTGTTTATCTATTATTGGCTGGTAATTCCTGTTTCACCTATACGTCAGCTATTTAAAAGAACACCAACTGATTGTAAAAAAGCTAGCTTCAAGGGATAATGATAACATCGTTACACTAAAGTCATGATATTTTATTAAATTACAACTAATTAATAATACTTATAAAAGTGTATAGTCCGTTTGTGACCTCAGTAAAATTGTTTGACACCATTGTTTTGGTTTTTGAGTTATCGTGTAATAAAAAAGAAGCAGAAGAACAAGAAATTCAAACTTTTGTTATGGTATTTACAGAGATTCACAAATTGATCAGTAAATTAATCGGGTTTCTCTAATAACTCTCTATTGATCAGTAAA